TGCAAACCTTTCATCTAACGTTTCATGTTAAAAAGACTTTAAAACATCGAATCTTTATAAATTGTAATTTTACAATTTGTGTCATCTGGGCGTGAAACTATGTCTATTAGGCTGAGTAACTTTAAATATGGATTATTCATCGACGCTGTCAATAACTCAGATTATGCAGCATCGAATTATGAGATCATTAATGAATAATGGCATATAAAGAATTTGAAGGAAGCAGTCGGGCCGAATGTAAAGTATTATTTCTGAATTTATATGGCCGGACTGAGGACCGTCATTCAGAAATCCTGTCTCCGGGCTGACATTTTAACGTGAGACATGCTGAAGACGAAGGAGCCACGACCTTTGGTACTCTGAAGGCAAACAGCGGATTGAGGACGAAGTACTGCGGATGCATCTTGAGCTAAGAAAGAGGAAATTACAGGAGAATGCAGGCAGTTGCACCATGAGAAGATTGCTAACTCGTATTCTGCACCTAATATTTCTAGTATGAACAAATTAAGAAGGATGGGTGGGGCATGTAGCAGGCACTATGTAAATAAGAAACTGGTATAAAATCTTAGTTGGATACCCTCGAAGGGAGAAATTTGGAGACTGAGGTGCAGAGGGGAAGAAAATATTAAAAATAGATCTTATAGTTTGTGAAGGCATGGATTGGAGTAAACTGGCTGGAGTCAGGGCCTTGTGGCCTGCTTCAGTTTAGTATTCATTTTGAAGAACTGAATCTGTTGGACATTTAGTAAGATTTTTTGATGGGGAGGGACTCTTATCTACATAAGACAAATTCGGAACAGCATAACACAGACATAAACTTATACCCCGATCAGGATTCAGACCCGAGACCCCGGTTTATGAGCGTCCTTAGATGAAATAAAGACATGAATGTGATTCTTAGTCTTTGAACTGTGCACAGTTCTTCAGGTTTCCCCTATAAGACATCGGTGTGTTCCTCTCGTGATCTCTCTTCATTATTAAGACGCTGTGGCGAACAAAACAGAGTAGCATGTCTTCGGGACTTGACTTTTCTCATGTTTAATTCAGGTAGTGGCCGGTTGGCGGAAGAAATCAGAGTTAAATAATTCCCTGTAATTTACTTTGAAGTGGACAATCCATTGTTAATGTTGCGCCCTTTCGTAATTTTATCGCAATTGAAAGAAATGTTCTATTGACGCAAAACTATTACCTGTGGGCACACACATCGATTTTCACTCTCCTCTCTTCCCCATTATCGAGATGTTTTTTTATCTTTCCCACTTTTACTGACATTTCACCCTTCGTTCACTGTCGTGCTGTCTTGCATATAACATCGGCTTTTGGATGGAAGCCGCTTCGGATATTTGGTGTTAACCAATGTTTCGTCAAACATTGCAGTTGTCGTTTTAAACCGACACCGCCATTACCCGAATGGTGAAGTTTCACATTGAACTCCAGGCGCGAAACCTTACGGACAAATAGTAGTATATCTTTCATAAACGTCTCAGCCCCCCACATGGAGACTTCTCCCTGCCTACAATTGGAACACGGACGTCTAGCCCATTGTGCTAACAGTTCAAATATCATGGAGTCGTAGGGTTCGGTCCGTTGGATCGCTACTGGAATTGATGTTTCCTCTGGCTGAAAATGTCGAACTTCCCCACTGATTAGATTACCAAGTGTAGTTACAGAGAAAACTTTCTTATAGATCTGCAGTAACAACAGACAGTGGATAGCGCAAGCTACTGCTTGTGTTACATGATTTAACTGATCTGGCTTCAGTGATGTTGTAGGATTCTCCAAAAAAAGGAACCATTTAGAAGTCTCTGTGTAATTCATGTCATTATGATACTAGTTTTCTAGGCGTTTGTTCAATTTGCTTGTATATCCAACTCTAAATAACTGGTACCTGTTAACTTCGTTTCCAGATCATTTCAAAATCCCGACATTGAAGCCCGTCCAACCGCTTTAATCCGGTCAGTATCCCGGAACCTATTTCCCCAAGTAGTATGAACCTCCCCTGTGGCCCGCGGGTGCTGCTCCCAGGAGTTGCTGTATTTTTACTCACAGGACGAGTCCAAGAGAGGTCAGGTTACAACGGCAAGGAGGCACAAGATCGGAATTTCTTCAGCAATGTCTTGTAAATAATTACAGACGAACTGATAAATTAATGTTTGGAACGATACCTATTTGTACCATATGCGTTACTCAAACATTGTATTTGTGGGATGGGCAGAACATGTAGTACGTATGGGTAGATGAGGAGTCCGTAAAACGGTTTAGTCGGAATACCGTAAGGGATATCGTCGTAGATGGGGGGGACAGTATTAAAATGGAGCCAAAGAAATAGGGGATGCTGCACAGAGGTAGTTCGTGTACCATTGGCTTTGGTGTCATTGTCGGGAGATTGATTGTTTCTCAAAATTTAATTAGCAGACGGGTATTTGTGTCGTTTCTTGCGAGGAAGGAACCAAATTTTTAAATATCGTTTTAATTAACTTCACTCTGAATGTTCTGTTATAGTGCAGGTTTGAATCTCGCCAAATGCCATAATCCGAGTCGCTGTTTCTGGGTTTAAACGGCTCTGGAGGTTACTCCAGTTATGAAAGTACTTCCGTACGGGACATCTCCATTTACGTTACAGAGTGTCATTAGTTGAACTCTGTCGGTCTGTAGTCTGTGTATCTGCTTGCTGTAATTGCTGATATAGTCGTCTGTCGCTGTGATGGGGCCCGGAGGCAAATTACCTCCTGGCGAACACCACAGCTTCATTATCCACGTAGTAATAGCAGGATCCATTGGGCTAATGTGTTATCCCAAGAGATGAAGTGGGGACTGGTGGACATTACGAAACGAGGAGTTTAGTAATTTATACGCCTCGGCTAGTATTGAAGTTTCGATAGGCTAGACATGTAGTTCGGATGGGGAAACAGGAAGTGCATGCTGATTGGTGGGGGATCAAACTGAAAAGGGCCCACTTGGAAGGTAGATAAGGACAATCCTGTTAGACTGTGTGTGTTGTGTTTGGTTGTAGTTCGTCGTGTCGAAACGTACGGATTCTTCTACCAGAAAGTAAGTTAGCTGGCGTCTAAACAAAGTCATAAGTAATATCTGTGTGCACAGTATTAGCACCACAAACATTGCTGAAGCAAACAAGGTTTATCACAAATGGGAGCGTTCGCCACGACATTGGTTTCTTTGTGTTGGCCACATTGATACCGCGCGTGTGAAGGACTTGTGTCGCCTGAATTTTCGTTCCTTGATAGGCCACTTCGATTCAGATCTAATCAGCAAGTTCTAATGCGCATATCGTCAAATTTGGCGGAACTGTCCCCGGTCTGAGCCGAGTTATTTGACACTGGTAGACGGAAGGTTTTCGTCGTTAGCTGAACGACGCCATAATCAGTCTGCCCCCTCCTCCCAAATCCTTCTGCAGTTAACATCACGAAGTTCTCGAAGCAACTCTTATACCGATACTGTCCAAATCCTTCTCTTTCTCTCTTTGTGTTTTTTAGACCTTCCAGATTTGAATCTTTACTATTTTTCGATTGGGCGCCATTTCCTGATGGTTTCTGCGTCCCGCGTCCTCC